TTTTGCAATCATTGATGCATTCAATAACTTGATCTTCGAGTCAAGTAAGATACAAAATTTTTTATTTTCTAATACATTTTTCTAAGCCAAATATGTATACTCAGATTATCTTATTCAACATAATATTTTAAGCATTGGATGATTTTCTTCTATATAAATGCTTTTGACATTTTAAATCCCTCAAGAATTCTCATGTAAACTTCATTATTTAGTGAGTCACATGTATAGGCTATAACGATATCTGACAGATGCATATTTCATTTTTCATATACTGCCAAACTAGTAATATATGCAAAAATTATCTATCACAAAATATTATGCCTAATTATAATCACTGGACCTTTGTGAAATTCTTTATTTTCACAAGAATATTCATATGTCACATAATAACTTTGTTTTTGATGTGTTTGGACTGCAGGTCCATAATTTTCACATATTAAAATAATAATTATATTTCCATTGCATCTCTTCTCCTTTCCTTTTGCTTTTGGCCAAATTTCTACTTTCATATAAGATCCTCTTTAAAATCACGTGATATTATTATCAAAAACGTTGTCGACAACTTTATCTTTTTGATTCCATTTTTCCTCTTTTGACATAACTTATTAAGATCTCTTCATTACTTTTCAGGTACCTGAACCTCTTTTGGGGTTCTTTTTTTTTTTCAACTAGTTATGTCTCAGTACTCTTCTAGAGCACATGCCTCCTTAATATAACTTTTAAATTTCATGCTCCTTTTTGTTCAATATAATTATATTGGAATTGATTAATCTCTCATGCTTCAGGCATATCTCACTTTTATTTATACTAATTGGAGCATTTTCAACTAGAATATGAGATTTAGTAATACTCATTTAGGTCAGTAATAGCATCTGGCACACATTTTATAATATCTCATGGATGCATTCTTTGATGAACTTCTGGTTCATATTATCATATATCTGAGAATCTATACTTGATAATAATAATGCATTCTATATGTTATCTTTTCCAACTACTCAATTTCTCTCCCTCATGTTGGGAAAATTTTGTCGAATGACAATCAATTAATCATGCAGTATGAGTCTCCTCAATTCATTTGCTTCTTTTAGAAACATCCGTTTTGTTTCTTTTAGATACAAACAAGAAGAAGGAGGTTCTTACCTAACATTCATTCCAATTTTTTATATCCATCTATATGTATATTGTGGTGGATCAATAGACATAAGCATTGCACATTCAAACTCTTAAGATGGAAAGTATTTGATTCCTGACCAAAAGCCAATTTCATTGAGAGAATTTTATTGGCTTGATTTGCATAAATGTTGCAACATATCAAACTAAACAAGCCAACCCTGAGATGAAGATCTTGTTCTCAAAAGTATTGATCTAGCCATTCATGGAGGCTAATAATTCTGCCAGATCATTCTGTTAAATAGACCTTTCAATTATTTTCTAACAAATGCATGTTGATCACTGAAATTTTGGGATATAAATTCACAATCTTTTTCAATAGAAATTTTCTAGATCTCATAGTCTGGAACTTGTGCACTCAATGTAATGATTACTCAAATAATTTTACAAACTTCAGGTTGCAAATTAATAATAATACATGTAACCATCCTATAGATGCATCTATCAAATTTATTAAATACTTGTATGGTTTGCATGCTATTGGTATGGGCTCATATATCTGAATTTGATATATTTCCAGAAATGTAGAGATCCATTTTACATCATAACTAGTGATATCAATGTAATCAATTTTTCATTGAGAATAAGCAGCATATGAATTCTTGGATCATATAATATGTTGGCTATTCATGAAGAATCTTCTGGTTCTTCAATGAATGTCGATATATAATCATCAATAATTTGTTACATCATATATATTATTTATGATAATCAGACAAGCCACCCCAACTATACATTAATTAGGCGAGTAAACTTCTGGTTTACTGTAACAAGTTTCAAGTAGAACTCTATCCAATATCAACTCACACTTGTATTTTAACAGTCTTCCCCTCAAGTGTGAGTCATAAAAACATGTTTTCCTTATTCATGTATTTAAAAAACAGTGACTAGCATATAATAGGCTAATAACCTCTATCACTTGGAAGTCCAAGTACTTCCTAGTTCATATATAATTATTGATTTTAATTCGATTAGGCTATTACTTTTCAGACTCTTTCGAAACCGAAGTTCTAATGTAGATCAATGGGTCATATTTTTTTACCATTAATTCTTTATCTGCCCATAAAGAAAAATATGTATTAGTTCTTCAGGAACTATATTAATATTTTTACACATAATTCTTCAGGAACTAAGTAATTTGAGAAGAATAAAGAGACAAATTTATCTTAATAATATCGTAATATATAATAATAAATAGTTATAAGTATCATAAGTTTAACTTGTAATATATATAGAATTTACACATACTGTAAAGATGATTTTGTCCAATCAATCGAAATTAATATCAACTATTTATAATAAATTTTCTCATAAAGTTAAATAAATTTCCATTTTCTCAATTCAAATGTGACATAAATATACGATTTTTTCTCTCAAATGTCACAGCAAAAACTAATTTAATTGTAGATATACAATTTTCTTTTATACTTTTTCAAAATGTATGAACTTACAGAATTAAATAATGTTTGAATTAATCCAATAATCATAATTTTTTAAACTATAATTATTATTTGAACATGCTTAATTTATTCTCATAAACAAACTCATATAATTAAAAAGAACACAAATATAGAATATCTTTTAAAATAAACTTTCTAAGAATAAAGTGTAAAATTGAACTTATTGTCAAAACTTCTTAACATTAATATATATTATTTATTTAATTTGTAATACTCAAAATATATCTTTTGAAAAATTACTTACACGTTGTATGAATACTTAACTTTTCTTTCTCAACTAATTTCTTGTTTAGTTAAACTCAAAACAATTTCAAATGCTCACAATAAAATTTATTGTCAATAAATCACAATAAATCATTCAAACTAAGATCATACAAATAGCATATAAATAAACAAAATATGAATAATATATCATCTTTTTTATTTGTGCACAAATAACACAATAAAGTACCAATATCATAATATGACCTTTGATTAAGGTATAAAAATATTTATGTGTTATGAAAAATGAGAAAAGTACAAAGATCGAGATAAGGGAGATGGAGAAAATAAGACGAAATTAGAGGAGAAATTAAGGGGGAGTTCTCATTCACTTCATTGTCTCAAATGTGTGTACATCATCTCCTATTTATAGGACCCCAATATTAAAGACTAACCTAAAGAGTTACAAGTACATAAAGAAAGGAATTAAGCAACATAATTGTCCAATTGGAGGTTATAGGAAATCAATACTTGAAACCCTTCAATTTGGGAGTTACAAGATATAATGCCATTAACCATGAGAAGGAATCCCAAGAGGCTAAGGAGTTATGAACATCCACACAACATAATATTTACAACATTATGAATGTTTTTTTGGCAAATAGTAGTTGGTATCTTTATTAACTTAAATATGATGCACATATACATCAAAAACCCATTTAGAATAGCTTATAAATAGAATTTTAATCGTGATTTGCAGAATATGAGATAAATATATAAAAAAATGTCTCAATTTATGTAAAATGTGTTTATAAGTGATTTTAAACATGATGACAAACAAAACCTAAATGTTCAAAAATAATACTACCTCCGGTCCTTAATATAAGACCCTATTTGCCTTTTATTTTGGTCCTAAATATAAGACCCCAATCCACTTTGTCTCTCATATTTATATATTTTTTTTCAAAGTAGCTCTTCTAACAATAATAATTCTAGTCAATACACTTGATTAGTAAGGATATTTTAGGAAAGACAATACCTATTTAAAACAAATAACTAACTAAATTTACTTCCTTAATCTCCTCAAATTAATCAACTGGCTCTTATAATTAGGACCGGGGTAGTATAATATTAACTGTTTCATGATTATTTTTGCACATTAACTCTAAAATATAATACATTAGGGTAGCGGTGATCTAAAAAATTAACTCAGGCAAATAGGCAATAAGAATATGATGACAAATATACAAACAACTATATGTTTATGATTTTAACTCCCTAAATGTAACCTATAAAAATCATGTAATACACAAGGGGCTAAAAATTTTTTTTCCAAATTTAAAACTTTAAGGGAAAAGAATAAAAAAATAACTGTTGAATTTTAAAATAATGAATAGATGATTTTAGCCTATTAAAAATTTTTCAAACTTTAAATTACGTACTAGTAAACCAAACAACACCAAAAAAAAAAAAATTTAGACATATCATGCCATAAGTAAAATAAGTAGTTAATTAAATTAATTCCATCTTAAAGGTGACAACACTATCTTAACTCAATGAACATTATACCTGGTAAAAAATTTTATTGGCCAAGAGGATATAAATTTGAATAGGTGCAATTATCTTTAGCATGTACAACTTTTTTCCCTTTTGACAACTATTACACATAATTAAAGATGAGTTGCATAGAATTAGAGAAAAATTGTATCCGTGGAAGATAGTTGCACTCGCTAAGTTTAGGTCCTTTTGGCTAATAAAAATTTTAACCAGATACTTTTTACCAAATTTACCTATGAAAAATGCATTAGATCTAACTAGAAGATCTAACTAGAATATGGATCTCGGCCACACCATTGAGAAAAATGGGCTATTTTTTAAGCCCTTTTTTTGGCATGAAGGAATTTCCAGGTGACCAAAGACATCATGAAGCAAAATGAAACAATTATTTCTCGGCAGCGCTGTCATCGCCTATTAAGGCTCCTGATCTTCCTTTATGATTGATCATGTATACAATACAACTTGGAGAAACATATAAAACTTCAATCTCCGGATATGACTGGGCATTAAGAACTCTGCTTAATGCCATGAAACTCTCCTATCCAAAAATGATACAATCTGGGGAAATAATTGGACAAGAAAAAATATCGACGAATAAGAAAACAAATCTAGTGCATGCTTGGGTTTACGTTGGAAACCACCAAAAGCCATGCTTTGATGTGAAACCAAACACACTGCAAATGAGCCATCAGATCATCAAGTGACAAGCAGCCTTCCTCAGTCAAAAATTTTCTCCCCAGTTGAAAATTGTAAGAATATTAAGGAACTAAAAAAACATAGCAAGCCAGGAATGAAGAACACTGCTCTCCAGCTATCAGGACCTGTAAGATCTGAATTAGCAGTTTTAGCAGCTTCAAGAAGTCTGCCAGTAAGGTCCACTCCAATAATTCCGGCTAAAGTGCCTGCGGTATTAGAAACACCCATTACAATTCCGGCATATCTTGGAGCCACATCCATGTGATTCACTGCAAATCCAGCTCTGCCCAGAGCCAGAAAACCCAGAGCCACAGAAGAACAGAAGATAGCCCCACCAGATGTTCTGAATATGGGAATTACAATCAATGCAAGAGAAGCAACTAAAAATCCTATGGTATTCAAGAATTTCCTGGTTTTTGTCACAGACATTATTCTCTTGGTGATTAAATGATCAGCAACTACACCACCTATGTTTGAGAATATAAACATGTTCAGATAAGGCATCATTTTTGAAGAACCCATATCTTGAAGGCTTAGTTTAAGGCCTAATTCAAAGTAGGTTGGCAGCCAATTCATCAACACATATAAACCATAATGAAAAGTGAAATTGTTCACAACGATTGCCCAGACTGGCAAGCTAGTTAGGATTTTCATCCAAGGGATTTTGGCTGCTTTGACTGAAATTCTTCCATTCTCAACCTTTGATCTCAGATTCCCCTTGATAGGCAACAATAATTCTCCAAACCCGGAAGCCGTGGCCTTTGGATGCTCAATACGAGGAGGATCACTGCCATATGTAAACCAAAGTAAGGACCACATGCCACCCATTGCTGCCTCGGCAACAAATATAGATTGAGGACCTCTAAGTTTCACTAGACTGGGAAGGACAAGCATTCCCATTGCTGCACCTAGATACATCCCAGAAGTTGTAAGAGAAACAGATCTAGATCTTTCATGGGGAGGAACCCATTGTGCTAGAACAGTGTGGATGGAGGGAAAGATGAATCCCTGTGCCACACCAACCAGCAAACGCGCAATTATTAACACAAAAACTCGATTGGGATCTAACGGAACCAATGCACAAGTTAGTGACCATACAACAAATGAAAGAAGGAGAACTGTCCTCCCTCCGATTTTCTGAGCAGCCCATCCCCCTGGCACTTGCGAACAAGCATATCCATAGTAGAAAGTAGATAGTATAGCCCCTTTGCTAGATTGATTCACTCCAGCAGCATCAGCAGCAACAGTATATGCAATTGAAAACCCAACCCTCTCTATGTAACAAACAGATGTGCAGATAAAGGTCAAAACGACAATCAGGTAACGCTTAGGGAATTTCATCATCCACTTCAACCACTTCACCTACACTTCAACCCATTTACTTGGTTGACTCATTCAGATTTAGCATCCCTCTAACAGATTGCTCTTCTAAGATGATGATTCACAAGATTCAAGGAACTTATGCCCATAAATACTTCAACTTCACAACGGATCTTGGACGCCAGATGAAATCATTGATAACATTACCCAAAAACTTCATCATATTTGCTTTTCAGACCAAGAAGTAAATAAAGAAACGCAGAAGGGCCCACGCAATGCCAATTATTTAGCTCCGTTGCCAATTATTTACCACAGATCAAAACAAATCAGCTCCATACGCCTGAAATGGAGAGAAGCGGATAAAACCCACCTCATCTTTTTCAAGAATTTTTCACTTTTCTGTGAGTTTTAAGAGTCCTGGCATTCAGATAGGGACCAAGAAATGCAAGAGAAGAATGATTAAGGATAAAAAGTCAATAAGAGGAGGGAAATGGAGTGAACTGAAATGGGGTCACGTACCTCGCCAGTGACGGACAGAATCAACGGCGTTCGTCACCGTCGAGACTGGAACGACGGATCGGAAAATAGTGGCGGGAGCTGGAATACAAAGAGAAGAAGAAAATATGGCAACTCGAATCGGGGGAAAGAATGCAGCCCCCTTTTACTTTTTTTTTTTTTTAATAGTGAAAAGAAGAACTGCAGTAATTCTTGCCAAACTCAAAACAGCTTTCAGTTAAGATGCCGGGAGCGGCTCATTGAGAAAAACGCAATTAGAAGTTCAAAACGCGTTAGGCATGTCGGTGAAGTTGTTGTCCTGGATTTTTTTTTGGGGGTTTTTTGTCAAAATATTTATTGAGGTCGTACTCATTATTTCTAATTTGGTATTTTAAAAATATATACTTTGAAAAATTTACATAGTTCCAAAAAAATGAGGAAAAATAATATTTAAAGACCCTAAAATTATCAAATTCCAATTTAGATACTCCAATTCATATAATCCCTTGTTTATGTGGGAGACATAAACTAAAATTGAAATTAGTGTCTTTTCCTCTCAACTCGGACACTTGGCTGAACTTTCCCATCTTTCTATATTTCGGTGTTCATGGAAAAGCTCGTATCATGGGGATGCAGTAAGCACAAGGCTTGAACAAACTCATTAATTACGTTTTTTAATACTCCTCCGGTCCTTTATAAGACCCAATTTGACTTTTTATTTGGTCCTAATTATAAGACCCAATCCATTTTCTCTCTTATATTTATGCATTTTTTTCCAAGATAATCCTTCTAATAATGATAGTTTTAGCCAATATACTTAATTAGCAATGATATTTTAAGAATAACAACACTTATTTATTATAAATAACCAACTTAACTTACTTCCTTAATCTCCTCAAACAAGTCAATTGGGTCTTATAATTAGGACCGAAGGAGTACAAAAGATGATTTATTTTTATAATTGACTGAGTGATAACAAGTTTTGATTGTCAAATTACAAATATAAAGTTGAGAATACTAGTAATGTTTTTAATACACGTTATTTCTATAATATAGCAAGTCCTAAATACAAAATGACAAGCCTGAAATAGAGATTAACAACATACTTTCTTTAAACTAATGAAAAAATTATACATCAACATTGTTACTGACATATGACTATTAACAAATGTTAAATAGAAAGTAATAGTATTGTCATGGTCGTTAACAAAATACTAGCATTACTATAACACCATCAAATTTTCATGTCATTGTATGAACATAGTACCAATAACAACACTTACATTAAAAATAACAACATTCTTATGATCAATAACAAAAAATCAGTATGACCATGATGGAAGTTACAATACAAACACCTGGCTTTTACGTTGTTGTGATTGAAGTTCAACAAGGAATCAAAGTCATAATTGTTGTTTTTGTTCTTTAGGCTCTCACATGTTGCTTGTTATGTTCCATTAAATCAATACTCCTCCGGTCCTTAATATAAGACCCATTTAACTAATTTGATTAAATTAAGGAAGTTAGGTAAGTTAGTTAATTATAAGAAATGTGACATGTTTTTCTTAAAATACCATAATCATCTTTCTTAATACCTCCTATTCCTCTTTTATTTGATTATGGTTAAAGGAATGTCCATAAGGGTAATTTAGAGAAAATTGATAAATATGAGAAATAGGTCTTATATTTAGGACCAAAATCAACTCAAGAATTGGGTCCTATCTTAAGGACCAGAGGAGTATCATTTTTAGCACAGTTATAAAGCTGGCATCATCTAATGCTATCTGGTTAATCCCATCGTTATTATTCTAAATGTAATTTGACTTTAAGAAGAATCTAATCTCATACCATGGTTGCTTCCTTTTGGTATATTAGGGGAGTTGGGTCAAGCAGGCCAACCTAATATTCCTTTTTCTTTCTTCTAAGGAAGCTTATCCTGCCATTTTATTCATTCACCCTCCTCTGCATCATTCTTCCATTGACCATGTTCCTTCCAGAAGCTGAGATGCATAGCTGGTTGTTTGTTACATTCCTGGAGTCATGTCTCTCCTAACCACTTTTCCATGTTTCCATGCATTTCCAGTTATAGTGCCTTGCCTCCTTTTGACAATACTATGCTAGTGACTAAACTTAGGGCCTGTTTGGGATCACGTTTGGGGTCCCAAACGTGCATCTCAACCGGCAAAAGTTCTTTTTATGTTTTAGTATATGTTTGGGATCACTTATGTGGAAATAAACCTTTGGTCCCAACGAGCGGTACCAGTGAAGCTATTTTACATTACTTTTAGAGAAAAAGTTCGTTCCTGCTGTAGAGAGAGAAGATGTACAAGAGAGAAAAAAACATAAAAAGATAGAATTTCTTTGGAAAAAACCCCAATAATTTAATTAATTTAATTTATTATTTTTTAAAAAATTTATCAAATTGTATGTATATGATATATTACCTTGACTCTTTAAAATAAAATTTATGATTTCTCTAAAATACTTATATATTCTTAATCTTTTTAAATTAGTTAATTGAGTCTTGTATAAAAACTTATGTCCTTTTCAATCATTTTATATCTAAACTTTTTTTTTATTTATCTAAACAAATTTTAACTTTTCAAACTGACTTTTTAGAAATATTAATCCAAACATAATTTTATTTTTCTTACCTCTTTTAAAATAGTCACACTATATACATATAATATTAGATATGTACTATTTAATAAAATCTATGTCCTTTTAAGTCATTTTGCATCCAAACTTATTTTTACATATATCATCCAAACAGGTTTCAACTTCTTAGACCAACTTTTTTACAAAGCCCAATCCAAACATAAATCACATTACACTATCTGATTTTTATTCAATCTGACTTCTGTAAAAGTCAGATTGAAAAAAAATTACTTCTACCACCGCTATCTCAAACACACCCTTAATGTTATAATATCCATTTGCTTTGGAAGTTCTCATGAGTGGGCAGTTACAAAAAAATTGGGAAGATCATTAGAGATAGATCTGGGTACTTTGAGAAGGAATCTGGGCCTCTAATGAGATCTACCAGCCTAAATTTAATGTCTATTGCACAAATAAAATGACTGTTTCAAATAGTGAGCAGGATCCTATGAGTGGAATACGAACTTCAATCCTCGCTTTCTCTGCCTTTTAACCTCAGTCAGAACTTCCACTAGGAGACAAGAAAACATCGATTTGGGAGGGAGGGAAGAAGCACAAGGACGATACAAGTACCATTCAAGGGGATATAATTGGAACGGAAGAGGATATGACAAGCAAAATGGCATTTTGATCATTTTCCCCTGTGATTTCATAATTCTAGTTTAGCCTTTTGTCTCTCACAGGTATTACTTTAATTGAGATTTCATAATTTTGGGGCCTCTAATTGTCCTTTTCCCAAAAATTAACTTGCGAGGGATAACTTTGATTTGTTTACAAGATTGGTCTTTCTTTGCAAGGGAGGGGAAATGCAACGTCTGTTATACCCTCCCTCCCCTCTTTTTTAATAAGAACTTGGAATTTGAATTCCAAAAAGTTTGTTTTTTAAATGTTTATTATTTTTAACTAATTTTAATTATTTTCTTAAATAATATAATTTGGTTAACAGATTTTTGTAAAAAGGACAAACGGAAATAGAAGGGACTAGTCTTTCACAATATGATAAATCAAAGTTCAAATCCTCACTGAAAGAGATGCTTACATTGATGCCCAAGAGTCAGTTAAACAGAATTGCCTCTAATACAATGGTAGTTATACTTTGCCAAAAAAAAAAAAAGGCATAACAAATCTGAGCAAGAGATCATCACATCACATTAAGTAATATCAGCTACTATCCATTTGGTATGAGGGAATGGGAGGATAAAAAAATTTTAATGAGTTCGATTTAAAAAATTGGAGAAGCAAGGTTAAAAATTTTAAATGAATTTTGCCTATTCTCTTATCTTATATTTTTTCTTTATCAAAATTTTATAACACATCTTCCTAATTTTTTAAATTAAGCTCATTAAAAACTCCCAAATTTCTTCATACCAAACGTCGGGTAAAGTATTATTCCCACAGAAGGCAAAATCAACGCCAACTGCCCAACTTGATGAAACTCGGCTGCCAGGAAGCTTTCTAAAGCATTATTGCAAGATTTGTGCTTTTTTGGACCTTACGTAATCTACAAATTAGGACAGATGAATAAGTCCAACACACCGACACATTATAAAAGGAGAGATTTTATTATGCTTACAAGATGTATCATGTTTTCCGTCAGTCAAAACCATTGATTTAATGTACATAACTAATACTATTACTCATATTCCTATCCACCTCATCAAAATTATGCAGAGATAATTAAGTTACTCCTCCAGTCCTTAATATAAGACTCATTTAACTAATTTAATTAGATTAAAAAAGTTAGGTAAGTTAATTAATTATAAGAAATGTGACACATTTTTCCTAAATCACCATAATCATCCTTTTTAATACCCCATCTTCCTCTTTTACTTGATTATGGTTGAGGAAGTATCCATAAGGATAATTTAGAGAAAACTAATAAATAGGAGAAA